AAAGAGCGAGAATAGCACTGGGTTTTTTGCAAGAAGCGAATGTGTTGTCTTTTTAGACATGCTTCGCAAAATACATTTTTCTTCTCGTAGACATTCTTCTTCTCATAGACATATTTCTTTTCATAGACATTCTTCAACTCATGTAGACATTCGTCTTCTCATAGACATTCTTTCCCTAAATTAAATTCTCATTGAATTTAGAATTGCTTTGCAAAATACATTTTTCTTTTCATGACAATTATCTTTATAATTAGTATGACGATATGATTCATACAGGTAAAATCGTACCTGTCATTCAATCTTGTCGCCGTGCTGAGTACCAGATGTTTCCATTTATCATTGAGCTTCCCTCAATAAATATCGATTGGTCACACTTCCTCTACTTCTTTAGTATTTAAATATTCAATATCGTTATTTATATTTATATAATTAATTTACTAATAAAAATAGATCTTAAACTAAATTTAAACAAGCGAAAGAACTATTTGGCAAAACACAGGCAATTTTTTACAGCGTTATATTCATATGTTATTTTTAAACATTAAAATGTCAGAACGATTATCCACACAGAATCAGAGAGAACGAATAAACGTACTGAGTCTTGCTCGCAATCCTCTCTGTAGGTTCTGCCAATTAATTCAGATATTTTTGAACACTCTTCGATACTTCATCCGTTAATAATTTCGTCGAACGCCGCACGAGACAACTGAAAACGACTAGATAGCAATTGCTACAGAGAAAGAGATAGAAAAGAATTTCTCTCGAAAGTTAAGAGAGCGGAAGGCCAAAGAGAATACGAAAGGAATCCGGGTGTCGACCGACACATTGGTACACGTGGGTTTCAGGCAGCGGTCGCACCGCGATTTCGTTCCCACAGTCGTCGGAGACGCGGATTCCGCCAGAGATTCTCTTTGCCAGTTCCGCGGAGGTGGACAGTCGGAGGAGGAACGATCGAGGGAGCGAAAGGAAGCCAGAACGAAGGTAGGAGAAGCGCGCTCTTGGTCGGGATGTGCCTTATAACATGCCAAAACGCCGATAATTCGACGGTGTGGTCCCGAACGTTAGCCGATATCCTTTCCCACGGATAGCCACGACGACGAGCCCCAGGTCCCGCCAAAGGGGATTCCAGTCATTCCTGTATATTGGCGACGACGTGCACGACGAGAACGATGACGGCAAGTAGGATGGGCCACCTTCGGCTCGATCGCAAAAACGATAAATTAGTTGATTTACGCGTGCACGTATTTTTTTTTTTTATCGGGAATCATTTCAAGAAGAGCGAAAGATATCGTGGAGCGAGGGACACCAAATCCTGAACTTCGTCGGACGATTCTCCTTCGATTTCTTCATCGCGTTTTTCCTGCAATGTACATATTTGTTTAAGTTTTTTCCTAAATATCTACAGTGTTCATTTTCTCAATTGACGTTTACTTGAAACATTGGGTGTATATTTCTCGGATACGATACTATTTAACGATTATTAATTTATAAATTTAAATATAATATATTTTTTACTATTACGTAAATTAATAAGCTTTTGTTATTAGATCTGTTATAAACTCTCTTTGAATTTATAAGCCTGGGAAATAGAAAACTACGATTATATATAGAAAATACTTTATTCTAATTTAATTTTTTCAAATAGACAGAGCATTATAGAATAATAACAACTTCTTATTACATGAAATTAAAATTAATTGCATTGTTGTTTAAAGGCACGTACTCAATTTAAATTTATATATTACCAGCGATATTACGGATCTGAAAATGATAAAAGATTAAATCTTTTTGGGAGGTTTTTTGGGCAGGTTTTGCAAACAATAATGATCCAAAGCTGAAAATTCTTTATACATATCAACGCCTGTATCCGACTCGCTTTGAGAATACGAAATGCACAGCACGGAAACGACAATCGAGTGCCTCCGCGTGTGGAGTGGCTCCTCGTGAAGAGGAGAGGCCATCAGGATGCCACGCGCGTGTATTCGTGCACGACACGCCGCGTGTCGTTCCGTCCGCCTGGTTGCCCCGATTTTATCGTTCCGGGGGCTCTTATAACCTCTAAATGTTTTCGTCGCCTCTATCAGATCGTCGGAGACAGAGATCGCTCTTCTCTTCGCTGGCGAGGGAACCATGCGAAAGATTGAAATGGCGATAAAGCGGCGAAAGGGAGCGCCGATAGAAGGTGCCGATGGCGCGATGACACACTTTATTTCCAATTAGCCGGAATTATCATCCAAGTTTTTCAGATCTATTTATAATTTAATTTTAGTGACAAATATTTTATTCGTTTATTGTCTCTTTCTGTAAAAAAATGTTACAGAAACATATTCTGGAAGAATGGAAGTGAATTTATCACAAAGTAGATTTTTTAAGATACGAAAAAATGTCATTTTTTTTAGAATAAAAAAATAGAAATTTGTCACGCGTGCGTATCGATTGGAATCCGTGGATTGCGAGGAGGATACGTGGAACAAAATTGGCACGCGCTGCTTCCTGCGTTCATCAGGACTCAAGAACCACGGAAGAATCCTTCAACGGTATGTCGTATTTATCCGTCCGGCCACTCTCCACCTACCAGACGTTTGCTTCATTAAGCCGACATCCCTACCAAGAGTCTCGGTGAGGATCGTCGGGATCCAGGATCACATTCCGCGGAGGAAGACGAACCGCACACGTGACGGTATGCGTAATAATAGTAAAACTGAATGAATCCCCGGCCCGTCTCGTCTCCGGGACGCGCTCGTGCTTTTTGAGAATGCGCGGAGGTCAAGAGGGAGGAGGCGGAGAAGGAGGGTTGGTGGTTGCCGCTCAACGTCGACCTGGTTCGGGGTAAAAACCCGAACTCGCGAGGGCGAGGAAGGGAGAGGTTGGAAAGGCTGCTGGTGTCCGTTGGTCGAGGTGGGGAACTGAGAGGGTGGGTGGGTCAAGTAAGATCAAAGAGGCCGCCGTGAGAAGTGGTCCGGCTGCCCGAGATTCTTGTCTGCCGGGACGTTGGCAGAGTCCCTCTCTCTCTCGTGGCAAGAATTTGTTTTACTATCACGGTACACTTTATCCCTCCCTCTCCTCCCCTCGTATTTTTATCCTCCTGATTGTAAGTTGCATTGTCAGATGCAAATTTCAACTGCAACGAACAATTTAGAATTCGATAGCAGAAATTTTGATCGCCCATTGCGTAATAGGACAAGGAAAATGCTGAGTCGAGTATGTTGCGCGATTCGATTTTATTAATTGATTTATTTATGACTTTATCATTAAGAGTACAAGCGCCTTGTATATAGAATTACTACAGAAAAGATTTTATTTTATAAAAAAGATTGAGCAATTAATTTTTCTCGTTTTTATATATATATAAAGATAATTTATTAGGGCAGTATTTGATAAGACTAACTCGATAAAATCATAAGTTTGTTAGACAGCTAATTTAACGAAAGAAGGATAAAAATAAATACATTAATATATCAATTGATTAATATTCAAAAGATCTTGAAATATACTTACGAATCTCAGAACAATACCTACCATATGCGGATGGTGAATAAAAGAGAAAAGAACCGATGGTCCGTCGGTAGATACGCAACAGAAAGAGGAAGCTGCAGCGGAAGGTAGATCAGGGGAAAGAGCGCGTGGAAAAAAAAGATGAAACGGAGGGGGAGAGAAAGCCGGTAGGTCGGCAATGGAGTGTTGGTACCATTAGCGCGGATGCCTGTTCGTATGCGGTCAGGGTCCTTTTATCCCGCGCGGAGATTCCTGCGGGATTCCTACGTTCGTTATCATCGCGTGCAGCATTCGCCGAACGTTGAAACGGCGGAGGGCAAGGATGCAGGAAGAAGGAACGCGATGAGAAAAAGGAGGGGGAGCGAGAGGGGGATTGGAAGAGGAGAAGAGGGAGGTTGAGGAGATTCAAACCAGTCCTCGGCGGCGGGGCATAGGCCTCCCACGACATTCACTTCAGGCTTCAGGAGTTATGAAGTCGTCCAGCTGGAGAACCAGTTGACTACATTTCGCGAGGATACGTCGACGGCGGCGCGCATCGTGTAATGGGAAAATATTGTATAGCGCCGCGACAGAACGCGCCGCGTCGAGGGAGGCCCGACGATCGAGATGCGGCTTATAGATTTCGTCACGGAGAGCCACGATCAAAAAATGGCACTCGAGTGGAGACCTCGTCTCTGTTAATTTTTCCTGGGTAAATTAATCTATCGCTCTTTCAAAAATCTCTCGTGACGGGAAGGAAAAGTTATTAAAATTTATTGTACAATTAATTTGTTTCTTGTCTCATTTTTAAACGAATAGCAAAGATTTTTTTGCCGTGATCGTCACATTTCTATTAAATTTTCGATACAAAGCAATAAAATCACCGTGTAATTATGTTCTAAATAATTTAAAAAATTTTTAAGTATATATTATTTTAATAGGAGATGCAGATAGGATTTAAGAGCAATACAATAAAAAACTTCACTTTCATCGTTTATTTAATTCTCTTATTTATTTATTTGTATAAATTATGAGTAATAATTAATACATCTATTATACACAATAGTGGAATCACCGTTTTCTTATTCGTAGTAGTTTTTCTATCCTGCATTTTGTGATAGATGTCTTTAAGCCTGCGGGATTCTCGAAATCCCGGTTTTCAGTAGAAGAAAACGAAAGGAGAGAAAGAGAGAGAATATTAAAAAGATATAAAAATAATTTATTGACATTTAGATGACATCCAATAGACATCAATCGGGTGTCATCTTCATCCCGCGCGTGAAAGTCATTCTTTATTTACAAAAATTTCTTACGGAGAAGTACATATATTACGGCCGCCGATCGGCTCGCATTGCTGCAAAATATATCACTATAATCTATTTATGTACAATACGCGTAAATACGCGTCTCTGTATTCGAGATTGTTGATATCTCCGAAAGAGCTAATGTAAAGCGCAGAAAAAATATTTTTAGAATAAATAATGTTTTGCGAGGCCACGATGCTCGCGTTGAATCGATCACGTTAAATATGGACTTCATATATGCAGTAGGATAAAATAATTAAAGGCTTCTTTTTACGGTGATCTATTTATTGTAGTTATAAATATTTTTTTCTATCACGGAAGGACAACAATTATGCAGATATTAAATAGTAATGTAAGTTGTAATCGATGTATCGATGATGAGAGAGTGAAAATGAGAGAGTGAGAGATATGTAATAAATTGAATTTGAACACTACAAGTGGGTGACAGTTGTACTGAATGCATAATAACAGTAGCCTTAAATTATTTTCTTCTACCACCGTGACATCTAAGATGTCAGAGCCTTCTTTCTTATGGATAGTAATGGACCAGTCACACTGGTATTTATACCGGTACTTCCACCGATACTTACACACTGCTTCTACGCATCTCTCAATCTTCCCGTCTAAAAATCTTAAGAATCTACGATCGCGCGAACGCTTTTCACCATTTCAGTCTTTAATACGCGCCACGCGACGTAATAAATATATGTGGTTTCGAGCGTAATACTGTGGAGATGATGAGGCCCCGCGGATTCGCGCGGGTTTTACGACCTCGGACCCATCCGACGAGTCCCGCGGCGGGATCTCTCGCAGGATCAGACCTTGAGAGTCGTCCGCTAGAGAGGCTATTAGAATCTATCGAGCTAGAGAGAAAAATAGTTTTGTTTGTCTTTGACATACCGTACTTTGACTCCAAGTTTTTGTGAAAACAGAGCGAGAGTTCGAGCTTCGATTACTTAACCCTGTAAAACTTATCTCGAAAATGATCAAGATTTCTTCTATATCAAATTGACCGAGTCCGTTTTACAAACATGTGTGTACCGTCTTTGTCGTCTTGCACTTCTGGCACTTGACCTCGCAGCACCAGTGGAATATGCAATTGCACCTCTCGATCACCACCACCTCCTGAGTCTTGTAGCCCCTGCCGCAGCACATCAGATCGCAGCCGTCGACGCCGAGGCTGGTGTCGTTGCACTGTCGCCCGTGGGTGCCCAGGATGCCGAGCGCGGGATTTTTCTCGCAGAAGGCCGGCGACTGCTCCAGGTAAACTAGGTCTTTCGGCCCGGGCGGCTTGTGCTCCGGATTGTACGGCTTCAGCTGAAAGTTGTAACGCTGCCGGCGTGCAAGACCGTCCCGATGCTGGTGCACCGAGTTGCTCGCCGAGTTGACGTGTACATTACTGCGCACGCGATCCGAATTGCTGACCATTACCCGGGAGGCGCCGTCGAAGCGGTCCTTTAGATTATCGCCGACCACGCGGAAACTTGGCAGCCGCATCCAGCAAGTTTTCACTGTGCACGAGCCCGACATACCGTGACATTTACATTCCTGACGCATTTCCGAAGACACGTGCTGTAACGAGACGAAAACGGAACCCTATAATTTTTCTTCTCCATTTAAAATTGATGATATTATAATCGTAATTCTGTCTCTTTGACGTCTTTTTTTTTTCATGTTTGGTAGTTTTGTACAAATAAACGCAATTTATTCGACAAATTTAAAAACGTGGTAAAATTGAAAAAATGTAATATATCATAAATTTT